TTTCTTTATTCAGATGAAGTTTGATTTAAGCATCTAAACTGATTTACTAACATTTGAAGAACACGGTTCGCTGCTAATTGTGTCTGTAATTAACACTGAAAGAAAAATCATGTCTCATTTCTTGAGCTTGACATGACAGCAGTTACTGCTGCATAAAAGAAGCATCAAATTTTATTTTATCGGGTTCTTTTCAACATACTGCGTCTTGTGATGAGGTTCAAAGAGAAATGGCTGACGAATGTAGAGAACAGAGTGATGACGCTGACTTTGGACCTCATCCTGAAAATATTCAGGGCCCTGCATGGGTGTCATTCATTAATAAGGTTTTATTAAACTCAAATAATATTAAAGTAATTAAGCAGTTATGATTTCAGGAGTGTCGACAGCAATCTTATCACATGATTCATTTATTGCATGCACTAATTGCATCAGAGGCTGCCAGTGACTGAAACCTTTATTCATTATAATGACTCTCTCTGAAAGACGCCCACTGTAGGCCCACATTTAACCAACATGTCTGTGATCTATATTTTTATACTTTTCTGATTACAATTAACAAGCTGCACCTGTCCTGTGTCCTGCAGATTGGGCATGTCATCAAATTAACTGACTTTACCTGTGATTGGAAACCAGTCAAGCTTTGGAAAACAACCTTAAAAACCAAAAAAGAAGGAGATCACACAAATAATTCAGTTTAAATAGCCAAAATGTATTTATTTAAATTAAACTTTTTTAAAAAAAAAGTGACACAGTCTTTCCTCACATCAGTAATGTGGCAAGAATGTGGATGCAAGTGAGTGGTGGGGGTATCTGAAAGAAAGTGAATCAACATTCAAATCAAACACACCCCTGCCAGTGAGGAGTGTGGAACTCCAAGAAAACAACCAGCTGTGTTTTTCTCAGGACACTCTCACACAGAACCATGAAGAGAAGATTAGGAAGGTACAAGAAGAGTCTGACGGGTTATCCCAACAGGCAGAAACACCTATGAAACATACAGTGTTGGGGAGTAACGGACTACATGTACCAGCGTTACGTATTTAAAATACAAAATATGAGTAACTGTATTCTGTTACAGTTACAGTTTAAAAGGTGATATTCAGAATACAGTTACTTGTTGAAATAAATGGATTACACAGCGGTATCTTCCTGTTTCATATGTTAGGCCAGTGGTTCCCAAACATTTTTTGCTAGGCCCCACTTTGTTTTACAAGAAAAATGTTTGCTCCATTGGGGTTTATTTCACACCTCAAACATTTAGTAAACAATTAAGCAAATACAAGTAAACTGCAATAAATTA